TAAATTCACCCTGGAAGATTTAATAAAACAATTTAACCAATTAAAAATGGCAAAGTAATCCAACAGGCAGCATTTCGGCAATGCCCAATTACAATAACAGGTCCTTTTGACCTCAGAACTCATAAAACAAATAGTAACGACCGAAGTAGACTCCTTAAAACAGGAGATAATATTGAAATTATTGATTACTCAAACCATGAGTTATTTTTGTTCAATGACAAAAAGGATGTCCTTACTTATAAGTCCTATAATGATTTATTCCATGTAGCCAATTTAAGTTTTTATAAGGACATAATAAATATTTAATAACAAAACATTAATAAAAGATCACAATGGGAAATTAAGTACGACTTTGAAGTAATTGAACTAATTTTGTCACAGTTAATATCAACTAGACCTAAAAGGGGAATTAACGAGTTAGGCACTGTGTGGAAATGGTTAGCTGGAACACCAGACCATTATGACTTCATCAAAGTACAAAATAAAATCAATGACCTAATAGAAAATAATAATTAAAAGTTTATTATCAACTCCAAATTCTTCAAAGAAATAGAATCTCTTTCTGATGAATTTAAACATGTATTTATCGATCAAGATTTACCATTACGAAAACATCGCCTAAGACTTTTAACATTTGATTTGCAAAATTTAATCGATACTATCACATTGGCGAAAATTGATGTCTTCAATACTAAAAATTTAAACAATGAAGACATAAAAGAAATACTAAATCACGAACAAAGACGGGTAATCATTGCAGACCTAATGGATATCTCAGTATTCAAAATTGCATTTATATAAAATTTATATATGAAATACCCTATAATTGATAACAGGTGCGATATATACTATGGTAAAGCCATTTCCCAAAGCGATGGAAAACTAATAATAAGCAATCAAGTCGCAAAATGGTACAATACGTATTATATGAAATGTCTACATTTAAGACCGAACTCTTTAACAATTACGGTATAATAAATCAGAAAAACCGGTTTTACCAAATTATTAAATGGAGAGAAATCGACTTGTAAGAAAATAAAAGAAAAAAATAAACAATTATATATCATCCAAGACGGTGCCAATTTTTTAAATGGTTACAATATTGTTAACAACTCCTATTTAAATGGATCATTTCTAATAAAATTTAATAGTACAACCACAAATAACAACATTTCATATACCAAGTAAGTAAAATTAAGATTACCGATTACTGCAAACCATTTTACAAGTTATGAAATATCCAATTACTTATTGTCAAATAACTCGGAACTCTCTCTAGACAATGTAAACATTCTAAACCCTTTCATTCAAATTAATAACACCAAATTAATAACACCAACAATTTTCCCTTATATTATTAATTGTAATCGTTTTATACATCATTTTTGTAATCATATATCTAAGTTTCAAATACAAAAAATTTATATTTGTAACCAAAAAACCACGGCCAGAACGCGAAAACAGCTTGAATCAAACAGAATTCAGAATGAAGAGAGTTATATAACCCCTAATACAGTGACAATACAGTGAATAAAGCAATACAATCGAATTTCATCACAAGTCGAAATGAGCCTAGCTCAATTCGATTGCAAAAGAAAAAATAAAGTAAACATTATCTGGTCGAGGTTCGTTGGAAGAAATCTGGATCCAGAAGATTCAGTTAATTCGACACCGTGAAGATCAACGGTTGTGCAAATTGCATCGAATTCAAACTAGCATAAGCTAGTCAATCTCAATATATTTTTAAATATTTGATAAAAAATACAAAAACTAAAAAAAATATTTTTTTAAATGAATTCGTAATAGAATTCTTAATTGGCGCCCAACGTGGGGCGGTGCTTACGAAAGTTCGGATTAAAAAATTCGGTGAATAAAAGTCGAATCATAATTCACGGACTCCGCAAACCAACTCCGGCGCCGCCAACCCAGTAGTGAATGTTCAGGTGAAAACTAAAAGTAGATGATAAAAAGTCATACCATCACCACGAACTAAGTACTACAGTTAAATATTTTTTGTGAAAAAATACAAAAAATCCACAAGCCAATAATAGTGAAAATTCTGATGAGAAATAAAGGTGGACAAAAAAAAATCACACCATCATCAAGAATTAAGTGGTATAACAAGACAATTTCTATAAAAGAATAAATGTCGTTAAACACAAAGCTATACAGCTAAAAAAAAAAAAATTGGTGAAAAACAAAAAATCAACAAATCTTCTACCAAGAAGGAAGGGCTGAGGGCAATGCCTCGCCAATACACCATTCAATCAAAAACAAAAAATCAACAAATCATCTACCAAGAAGGAAGGGCTGAGGGCAATGCCTCGCCAAAACACCATTCAATCAAAAAAACCAAAAAAGAAGGAGCGAGGACCTGAGGGCCATCCTTCGCTACCAATAAACAAACTCCCGGAGAATCATTAACAATTACGAGGAGAATCTGCTGTAAGCAAAAATAAAAAATACTAGTTTTAATAAAATTGTTTTTAAGAAATAAATACCCCTGGCGAATTATAAAAATTTAGTTGAAGGAAAATAAAAAAAAATATTAGTATAAGCAATCAATCAGCAATTAAGAGAAATTACGCTTAAGAAGTAAATTCACCCTGGAAGATTTAATAAAACAATTTAACCAATTAAAAATGGCAAAGTAATCCAACAGGCAGCATTTCGGCAATGCCCAATTACAATAACAGGTCCTTTTGACCTCAGAACTCATAAAACAAATAGTAACGACCGAAGTAGACTCCTTAAAACAGGAGATAATATTGAAATTATTGATTACTCAAACCATGAGTTATTTTTGTTCAATGACAAAAAGGATGTCCTTACTTATAAGTCCTATAATGATTTATTCCATGTAGCCAATTTAAGTTTTTATAAGGACATAATAAATATTTAATAACAAAACATTAATAAAAGATCACAATGGGAAATTAAGTACGACTTTGAAGTAATTGAACTAATTTTGTCACAGTTAATATCAACTAGACCTAAAAGGGGAATTAACGAGTTAGGCACTGTGTGGAAATGGTTAGCTGGAACACCAGACCATTATGACTTCATCAAAGTACAAAATAAAATCAATGACCTAATAGAAAATAATAATTAAAAGTTTATTATCAACTCCAAATTCTTCAAAGAAATAGAATCTCTTTCTGATGAATTTAAACATGTATTTATCGATCAAGATTTACCATTACGAAAACATCGCCTAAGACTTTTAACATTTGATTTGCAAAATTTAATCGATACTATCACATTGGCGAAAATTGATGTCTTCAATACTAAAAATTTAAACAATGAAGACATAAAAGAAATACTAAATCACGAACAAAGACGGGTAATCATTGCAGACCTAATGGATATCTCAGTATTCAAAATTGCATTTATATAAAATTTATATATGAAATACCCTATAATTGATAACAGGTGCGATATATAGTATGGTAAAGCCATTTCCCAAAGCGATGGAAAACTAATAATAAGCAATCAAGTCGCAAAATGGTACAATACGTATTATATGAAATGTCTACATTTAAGACCGAACTCTTTAACAATTACGGTATAATAAATCAGAAAAACCGGTTTTACCAAATTATTAAATGGAGAGAAATCGACTTGTAAGAAAATAAAAGAAAAAAATAAACAATTATATATCATCCAAGACGGTGCCAATTTTTTAAGTGGTTACAATATTGTTAACAACTCCTATTTAAATGGATCATTTCTAATAAAATTTAATAGTACAACCACAAATAACAACATTTCATATACCAAGTAAGTAAAATTAAGATTACCGATTACTGCAAACCATTTTACAAGTTATGAAATATCCAATTACTTATTGTCAAATAACTCGGAACTCTCTCTAGACAATGTAAACATTCTAAACCCTTTCATTCAAATTAATAACACCAAATTAATAACACCAACAATTTTCCCTTATATTATTAATTGTAATCGTTTTATACATCATTTTTGTAATCATATATCTAAGTTTCAAATACAAAAAATTTATATTTGTAACCAAAAAACCACGGCCAGAACACGAAAACAGCTTGAATCAAACAGAATTCAGAATGAATCGGGACGATCCATTTTAGAAGGGGGAGAGTTATATAACCCCTAATACAGTGACAATACAGTGAATACAGCAATACAATCGAATTTCATCACAAGTCGAAATGAGCCTAGCTCAATTCGATTGCAAAAGAAAAAATAAAGTAAACATTATCTGGTCGAGGTTCGTTGGAAGAAATCTGGATCCAGAAGATTCAGTTAATTCGACACCGTGAAGATCAACGGGGAGCGCTTAGTCAATCTCAAAGTATTTTCAAATATTCAATAAAAAATACAAAAACTAAAAAATACATTTTTTTAATGAATTCGTAAGAGAATTCTTAGTTTGTATGTGCTCTTCGCGACTACAACAATTTGTAGGCTTTTATTATACTTGGTTATGCTGGCAATGTTTGAATTTTAATGTTATTATCATTATCATTATCATTATTATTTTCTATATTTTTTTTTTAACGGATGTTCCACATTGCATTTATTTATTTTCTTTTGATTATTTAAATATACGTTTTTCACTTAATATACGTTTTTCGCTCCGCTACTGCCAGGATGAATGCTCTACATACTGAGTGTTGCCCGGGGGGGTTTGTTGGGAGTTGATGATTTAATCATCACCGACAACTCTGATTTTGTAACGTCTCATCAAAGAATGAACAAAGAACAAAAATGAAGTACGAACATAGGCAGCGGCACAGCTCCGTCAGAATTCGACTTGGCTTCTGTGTTTTCTCTGTATGATTTGTTTTTGTTTTTTCTAACACTCTGTTAGAAAATTTACGAGCTGGAATTTTGGTACTGAAGTGACCTGTTCCAAGTTTCAACGAATCTAATATACCCTTTTTTCGAGTTACGGAATAAAAATACGATATAACTAAATTAATATTCCGAACTCCCAAAATGTATATTTCTGATTATGATTACTAGTATATCAGTCCGAGGGCTCGTCTCTTAATATGAACGTTTTAAGTGAAGGTCAAGTCCTTAATAATAGAATAAAGTATAATCGATAATCGATTAACTCACCCTTGCAACCAGAGGTACACGGCGGCCAACGATTTTAGCATTCATACGAACTAACACCATTCGATTTAATGGTGACTGTTGGCGCAAATTAAGACGATATTTCTTTATCTTAAATTCTGGTCTTATAGTAGCAGCCAAAAACTCGAACAGTTCTGTAATAGATATAAAAACTACGTTTAAGAGTTTTTCAACTAATCACACCTTACCTGACTCCGTACTGTCATGAAGGGTCCAATAATATTGAATAAAGTTATCCATAGGACAGTGTCGAGTAAATACAGCCCTTAGAACAATTACCTTTGAAGTTTCATAGTGTAGGGGACGATTTGAGTCATGACAACGAGGTATATAAAATTTTGGTTCACATGATATGTGCAAGTTAGTTTTAACGAATGTATAAGTCCTGGCTTGTAGTTCATTTCCATATAATCCGTCACTAGTAATTAAAGCAACAACACTAAAGAAGCCATTTGAAAAAAAATGAATTCCGGATACATGGAAGTAACACTCAGCATAGGGTACTTTCCTATCCGAGCTTACTCCAAAGAAGGCCAACGTTTTTTCCAAATTCGAGGTCCTATACCAAAGCAAGGCTTCTTTTTGCGCACTTGTATTTGTCTGAAAATAATCTACCAAAATTAATCCATTTAAAGATACCTTCGTAGTAAACCATTTCTGATGTAAGGACTGCAATGTTATTATAACTCGTCCTTGTCCGAATGTATGAGATCTATTAGTAAAAACATACAGATTTGACGACAAAACATTCAATTGTAAAAAGTAAATTAGACGTAGTATTGATTTCCACATAATAAAAACGAAAAATTTCAAAACCCTCAAATGATAAATAGAAATAATCCTACTTTGTTAAATGCCATCGGATTACACCTTAAAAAAGTTTACTAAAATCGACTTCCATAGAATACTAAGAATTACTAAAGAAGTAAGAATACTAAGAAGTAAAGAAGTACTAAGTATAGTACTTAATACTAAACATTTCTTTGCCTATTTAATGTAAGGCCGCACCGCAGCATTAACAGCTCTCTCTCAGTTTTTATATGGAATGTATATCAGCTGGCATCAGTGGTAGTTTATTTTTACTCTCACTCTTCGATTCTCGATCGCTAAGCAAAGTTGTCGGTGAAAAGTTGAGCTGGCAGCTCAAACATTGTTGACCCGACTTGATATTGTTGTGCAGTAGATTTAAGCAAAATCTAACAAAAAACAAGATAGAATGCTAGACGAGTTCCCCGACTATCATATAGCCGTTAATAGAGCTAGAAATATTCTGGAATATCGGTAAAAATTGCGAATGAAATTAAGAAATTGTTACGTCAGCGTAAGGACACGCCAGACCGCGTCCTGGAAGAGGATCTAAGTTCTATAATCTGATAGGGACAGATAGACAGACGCAAATAATGCCTTGGCAACTTGACTTGAATTCTTAAAATTCTTTATTTCTATAATATGATAGGGACAATATCAAATGCTTTTTTTTTTAAATATTTTTACGAGTGCCGCCGCTATCATTTATTGTTCCTTGATTTTTTCTTTTTAAAAATATATTGATAAAATTTTTTGCAATTACATTTTTCGGATTTATGGCAGCAATTATGCATGCCCTAATTTTAATTAAAATTATAAGATTTACAGTAATAATTTCAATAGTATAATTAATAACATATAATAATAATATATAAAATAATATCATTTACTTTATTAATTAATTAATAATTTTGATTTTCTTATCAGGAGTCTCAAGGATCTATGTCACGGTGGGTCAAGGGATTTTTGAAAATTAGAACATTATAAATTTTATTTTAACGCTAAAATGATATATTGGCCTTTAGAATTAACATGCTCTGGGCACATTATTCATGTAGTAACGCAATGCGAGAGAGCAACACCGGAGGCACAAGTGTTGCCCTCGGATATAAATTTTTTTTTTTTCGTTATTGTACACTAGTGCCGGCCATAATGGCTGATGTTGAGCCATGTTAAAGTGCTTAGTCGCCAAGCGCTGAAACGTAAGCCCCGGAGAGGAAGATTACATTTTGAGATTAGACTTTAATATTTTCTGTTTAGACATTAATGTGTATATATGAGTTTTATACTAGTGTATGTTGCTTATAATTATCTAATGGGGAGTTGTTATAATTATCTTATGGGGAGAAAAAAAGAAAAAGAAAAAAGCCTGTCCTCAGACGTTTAATTTAGGGGTATTTACGTGGGGTACAACGTTTTCTGTTTCAGGGTGTATAATAGTTTTGTTTTCTGGGGTTTGATTTTTGAATTATACAATTAATTTTTGGGGTATAGTTTTATATAGTATTTATAAATAAAGTATTATGCAACAATTATAACTAATATGATTAATGTTGTAATTATTATTATTTGAAAGACATTATTCGTCCGATTATGTTGTTCGAATTTTGGTTTAAAATAGTCTTAGGAAGGTTCCAAGTTGTAATTATATTATTAGGTTTTACATATTTCATTTCAAAATCAGAATGTGTTTTACTGTATCTACTTTGTGTTGAGACCTGGTTTAATATGCCTGTTATAAATTTATTTATGACCAAGCTTTGGGAATTTGCTGTGTAAGTTTGATTATTATGTAAAAAATATTTGTCATGTATTGTTTCAACTAGTATGTTACTATTTTCGTCTGGGTATGGTATTATTTCAAAAACTGGTGTTATTTCTCTCGGAATGTGGGATATTATCAGAATTTCGTTCGTATCAGATTTAAGCCAAGCAGAAGTTTAGATATTAAGAAGTTTTTCAGAATTAAAGTGAGTTAATGAATCGTGTTTTAAAAGTTTTGGGTTAAAGATACCTAAGCGTGTCAGATGCTAACCAAGTTATACGTCTTCTATGTATTCGGTGAATTGTTGTAGGTTGAAAATTACAAAGGCTAACATTTGTTCTCCTTCAAAGTTACTATTTAGATGATTGGTCAATTCGATTCCCTTATTAATGGCTTCTATTACGTGGTTGAGTTCGCTTACTTTTGCAATATTTTTAGAGATGTCACCTATTTGTTGTTGTAATTCTTCTTTATCTTTTTGATCTAAAGTGCCGAATAAGTATTTGTACATTTGTATACCGTTCATTTCTCTGTTAATTTTTTATATTAGATACTGAATTTGTGGTAGAGTTTCAAAGATTTGAGCCTGTTTGATAAGTTAGTTAAATAACAGTTAAATTAACAGATAAGTAGTGATATTCAAGTTTTTTGGTAAATCTATTGATCCAGTTTGAAAGATTAGGTAACCGTATTTGGCCTGGATAGGGGTTAATTCTAAGTATTGTGTGCTAATTGTCGATAGGAGGCTTAACATGAGTATCATGCTCGGGAGTAGGCCTAGAATTATCGTTATTCTATTTACTTTTATTAATTTTTTTTTATTTTTAATAATTTATAGTGTATATTTTTTCTACCTCTATTTGTTCCTTCAAAATGTTTTTCGTCTATTTGTCTTAAATTTCCTGTATTTTTGAATGGGTTAGTCGTTTTTGATCTAACTAGAGGGGATTCTCTGAAATTGGTGTCTATACTGAAGTCTTGTCTAGTTTTATTGAGTTTGTTAATTTTCTTTACTTTATTTTGTTGTGTTTTATAAAAAGGGGTTCCTGAAAAAATATAAATGTATGCTGGTGTTCGACCAGTTGTGTTCTGTTTTGTTTTGTGATTGTATACGTAAAGTATTTTCTCGAATTTTGTGAATTGGTTTTCAGGTTCATTTTCGCTTGATATTATTCTTAATTTTTCATTGACGGTTTTATAAAATCTCTCGATGTCAGAAATTCCATTTTTACTTGTTTTTATATTTAACCATTTACTTGTATTTATATCTATCCAGAGTTTAAGTGCAATGCACATGAAAGCGGAGTCTTTGTCCGCTTTTATTTCTATGAGTTTACCCAGGTCGTTTAATATACGTAAAATAGCTCTTTTAGCTTCAAGCCAGTCTCTACTACTTCTATCAGGGAGGCGTATTTAGAATAAATGTCAATACATGATTGTTTATTAATTAGATATCCATGACATATTTATCTCTGGGGTTGAGGGTTTATGATGTTTATGATGTTTTGGATAAGCTTTTGGTAATCGGGGTAATAATAAAGTTCTTTGAACTGAAGTGTTAGTTCTTCTATGCCAGGTTGTAAATATTCTTTGTGTTTTAAGAATGATTTCTTTGAATTGGGTATATGTTTGAATGTCTATTAGTTTGCTACTGGTTTTCAGGGTGCAATTGTCGGGACTTATGATATGAAAGTCGATTTAATTGGGGAAGTAGATAACACTTTTTTTATTAAAGAAGTATTCTTTAATTAGGTCTTAAGCAAAGGTGTGGGTCATTTCTTTATAACTGATTTTATTCTAGTTTTATGGAAATATTTTATTATCTGGACGGCGTCAAAATTGTCTTTTATGAATCCGAATTGTCTGTTATAATAATTAGGGGCCATTCTGTCATTCGAATGTGGTTGTCTTCTGATGCACTATGTATAGTAGCTGCTGTGGGAAGGGAGATTGGATCATCTTCTCCTTGGAAGTTTTCTTGAATTTGAATTCTGGATAGAGCATCCGCGACATGATTTTCTTTACCAGGTAGGTTTTTTACTTTGCATGGTGGAGGGACGGAGCAGAATCAGATTATTCTGAACCGTTTCCACAATTTATGTGCATTTGATTACATAGGTATGCAATATATAAGTACAAGTATTTACATTTTTGAATTTAACATTGTGGAGGTGAGTTTTGGAGTTGGACCATAATGTTAGTAAAAAGTAAGTATGCTAGGTTAGTTTTTCTTCTGCTTGTACATTAACTTTTGCTTGTTTGTTTACATTTTAAGATTTGCAAAGAATTACAAGAAATTAACAATTGTGTTTTTGTACAATATTTCAGGTACCCCCCGCCAGAAGGGCGGGAGCGCCAAGTCGCTGGTGGATTCGTGAGTCATCGCCGGAAGAAAACAGCTGCTTCCCTCGCCTCCGTCAATCCCAGGGTGCTGCCCGAGGTTCCGCGTCCTGTGTCCACTTCGCCTGAAGTGGCTTCTTGGAGCCTCAGGCCCAGGTTCCGAAGTCGTGGTCCGCCGCAGCAGGGCTGGATGGCCTGATTCCTGTTGCCACGAGTTGCCGCCCCCGGCAACCTGTGGATTAGTCGGTGTTGCTGGCGGTGCCTGTGGGTGGGGAAACGGATATGAAATGCATCGAACGAAATTGAGTGAGTATTATTTACAATGGATTATGGGTGTCTTCATTTTCGTTTTGAGTAATAATTTCCTTTCTTTTTAGGAAGTGGTGGCTTTGCGTAGGATTTGGTGGTAGCCGTCACACCGCTCAAGGACATGGAAAGGATGATCTTGGGATTAGATAAGTGGCTGGTTATGTTTCTAATTTCTTATTGACTGATTTGATTATTTTTCTATATTTTCAGTCTTCGTCCTGAGGCAGGGAAATGGACCTGGGTGAGTCCCTTGCATCATAATGTCGCCAGGATGCCGCGAGCAGATCGAGCAGAGCCCGGCGATCAGATCGTGCGTTGGGAGCTCCGATTTCGTGTTAGCAGAAACCTCTGCTCTTGCTGGCAGTAGTCAATGCTGTTTGCCGCCGCAAGACTCAGCTGCAGGGTTGGTCTGGAACCCTTCAGAGTGTCTTGTGGCAGGTTTCCAGGGAGGCCTCTTTGATTTTGCAGGTGTTTTGATTTAGGTTTTAATTTTATGTTTTCTTTTCTTTTCAGGTCCCCAGTAACGAGAGATGAATATAACCTTGGAAAGATTTTAGCCTTGATGATGGGA